CGAAATTATCAATACTCATACAATGCAAGAGGGTGAGGAATTATAATTCTGAAAGAGGAGGGAATGAGGAAATGGTGGCAGACAGCTGCTTGACTTTGCCATTTTTTTTTCAAAATGGCCTTTGACCCAAAAAATCTCATTAAAAAAAATGAAACTGTAAACAATACCCAAAGGGTCAAAAATACCCCTAAATAAAGAGAAGGGAAGAGGAAAGAAAGAGAGAACTAAGAGAAGAGAAAGAAAAATCTCATCACCGATGCCACCTACGGACCGCTCGGATCATACCCACTTCGACCATTGCTGAATATCACCATTTTTCAAAAATTAGATTTGTTTCTTTGTAATTTACTCACCATTAAGGTTAACATATGTGGGAATTTGAATGTTTGAGTGTAATACATAAAAATTTGAATGTTTAAGATTTGAATATATTAAAGTATGAGTTTAATACAAATTTTATAGTTAAAATAGAAGGAAAAGTCGAATTTGAGGTTGAATTGATTAAGAAAAGTGAAAAAATAGGACGGAACTCGTCGAAAATGGAGTTTTCAGATGATTTAGATGGCAACGACGTCACCATCTGGATCTAGACGACCTAGATGCCCAGACGATTGGGCCATATGAATCCTGACGGCCCAGACGTCTAGATCCAGACGGGGGCCAGCAATCTGGATCCAGACGGCCTAGCTGTTTGGATTGGCCCATGCCAGCCATTTTTTTAATATTGAATTTAATTGTTTACAAATAGGGCAATTGGCACAAAACGTCGCTCCCTTTCGAGGTTATTGTGGAAAACGTCTATACCTTTCATTTTTTGACATTTTTGTCCCTATTTTCACCTTACTTTGCGTTGACATCATTTTTACCATTTTTGACTTAAAATGATCAATATATCCCTCCTATTTATACAAAAAAAGTAAATTGCAACTATAAGTCCAAACTTTTAAAAAGTGCAAATGAGTCCAAATTTTCAAAAAACCATCACCATACCACCTAAAATCAAAATGGGCCCACCTTTGGAGATTAAAAAAAAATCCCACACAGACACGCCAGACGCCACTATTCCCACCCCACCCGACCCGACCCAACCCAACCCAACCCAACCCAACCCACATATATATAGCCCTAATCATAAACTCATATGTAATACAATTTACAAAACACTCCATCACAAGCAATGGTCCACCCAAATGGACCCTGTGATCAGGGAAGCCACCGTCGGCGCTGCCGTCCATATCCCCACTATCAAATACCTTGGCTAACAAGCTTTTTGGCAATCTCCGAGCTTTTTGCCTTAGTTTGAATCCGTTTGCTTTGTACAACTTGGCCAATCATTCCTCTTGCTAATTGTCTTTGTAGTTTTTGTTTTTAAAAATTATGTAAATTGTTTGAGGATAGGAAGCTCTGAAATTTCACGAATTTTTAATTGGGCTTATCTATTAATATAATGGTTGTGCTATTTGCATAGACCCCTGGGTGTACACAGGGTGTCTCACATGGGGGTGGATTCCAAATGTGTGGTACACCATGTCCTCAGGCACCAAGGTGGTATGCAAGCTGCAACGAGCACTATATGAACTGAAACAATCACCTCGAGCATGGTTTGGAAGGTTCAGCCTAGCAATGAAGAAATATGGATTCAAACAAAGTAACTCAGATCATACACTATTTTTGAAGCACAGATCTAGCAAGGTAACTGCATTGATAGTCTATGTAGATGATATGATCGTCACAGGAGATGATGATGAAGAAATTTCCAGACTTTAGAAGCAATTAGGAGCTAAGTTTGAAATGAAGAACTTAGGAGGACTCAAATATTTCTTGGGAATTGAAGTAGCTAGGTCAGAGCAAGGTACATTTCTCTCCCAAAGAAAATATGTGTTGGACTTATTAACTGAGGTATGAATGTTGGAATGCAAGCCGGCACACACTCCAATCGCATAAAATCATCAACTTAGTGAACATCAGATCAAATTCCAACTAATAAAGGGAGGTACCAAAGGTTGGTTGGTAAGCTAATTTACCTCTCCCATACTCGTCCAGATATTGCATATGCTGTAAGTGTGGTCAGTTAATTCATGCACAATCCAAGTGAAGATCACATGAGTGCTGTGACTCGGATACTCCGATACCTAAAGACCTCCCCAAGAAAATGACTTATGTTCTCAAAAAATACAAATACAGAGCAAAGAGAAAAATTACAAGTAACTAGCTACACAGATGCAGATTGGGTGGGAAACATATCAGACAGAAAATCCACCTCAGGTTATTTCACCTTCGTTGGCGGGAATTTTGTTACACGGAGAAGTAAGAAACAAAAAGTGGTGGCACTATCCAGTGCAGAAGCGGAATATCGTAGAATGGCAAAAGGACTTTGTTGACTCCTTTGGATCAAGAGGTTACTTACAGAAATTGGATTTGGCCCTACATCTGAGATTGATCTATTTTGTGACAATAAAGCTGCTGTTGCCATAGTTCACGACCTAGTCCAACATGATCGGACGAAACACATGGAAGTGGATCAACACTTTATCAAGGAAAATCTTGATGCAAAGATAATTAGACTCCCATTTGTGAAGTCTGAAGATCAACTAGCAGACATTCTTACAAAGACAGTATCAAGTAAAGATTTCCACAGCTCCTTTGGCAAGTTGAACATGAAGGACCTTTATGCATCAACTTGAGGGGGAGTGTTGGCGCAAGCTGTTAGGAATCAAAATAGGAAATAAAATCAATCAATCAATGTAAATTCCCTTCATCAAGGGATTAACCACACAATACTTGGCACCAATCTTGCATAGGCCGAAAATAGGCTGCAAAATCATCTATATATGTACCTCATCCAATGTAATGAATATACTCCTGGAATACAGTAAATTTCTTACCATTGAAACAGAAAAGTTGCTTATTGTGGCTTATCCTTTACTTTTTTGATGATTTAGTTGGATGGTTTCTTGAAGAAGGAAAAAAAATAGTTTAAGCCTGAAGAATACACTCATCATATTGCATGCATCATATAACAACTGGCAACCCTTTTTTCAGTTTTTAATTACCGTCAAATGAATTTGTGTTTATAGGCAATCGCGTGAATTTGTGTACAGTAGGCGCAGTGGGTATAATAATTTCCTCTAATTCACATGTATTGCAACTTCATTTGTCTGTTAGTTTTTTTTGTATATAGACATACGCAGGGAGCATGAATTTATGTTTTTCTTGTGGGACATTTGAGTTTTGAGGCAAGACCATGTTCTGAGCAACATTAATTATTCAATGTTTGAACTAACTTGTTGGTGATAAGTACACCACAAAATTTTATGGATTAATCTTCTTGTAAATAGGGGCATCCACCTGGCACCCCTTCAATAGGGGGCTCCATGTGTCCATTATGAACACCATTATGGATGCCCCTATATACTTGTAGCATCCTCCAAATTTTATTCCGTTTTTGCATTTTTGTTTTGTTTTTATTGAATTGGGAGTTTAATTGTAAATTTACATAGTGTTTGAGAGATATTTTTATGTGAAAATATATTTCTGAATAGTAAATTGATGGGAAATGTAAGTTTAAAAAATAAGGAAATTTTTTTGATTTACGTGTAATATTATTTTAATAAAGAATGTTTGGTTGAAAAGAAGAGAGAAAAATACATTTTGAGAAAAATGGATATCAAACAGAGCCTTAGTGTGGTGTAGTTATTAAAAATATATTTTATTTATGGTGTCATCATAATGTGACATATGAATTAAAATTTCTAGTGATAATATAATCACCCTTTAATACAATTTACAAAACACTCCATCACAAGCAATGGTGCTACCAAATAATTCTCGGGATGGATTATGAAATGAAGGAGTATGTGCAATTTCAGATTTTGACTCCACTATCTCCACTGATTTTGAAGCTTCTCCTTTGTTTATACCCTCTTTAGAAGACAATGATATTCTCCGTCTCGGTGCTGCCACTTGATGACACTCGCGTTCTGTTTGCTGGATAAAGTTGAACCCATGGCTAATGGTCGATTTGGAATACCTATTATTGGTGAATCCGACATCCCATTATTTTCGGAACAGGAAGCCATTAATCAATTGAAAAGACCAAATAATATTATGTAAACTCACGAATCTCAAAAAGGGTTTTTATATTCATGAACATAAACCCTATTTTCAGCAACATCGTATGGTAAAGATCGATTCTCTGGAGTTTGGATAGATGCTGCTGTGTGCTGATTTTGAGTGATCTGTGGTTTGATTTTTGATCTTCTGTATTCCTTGAATTGAGGATTTCGATTTGGCTCAAAGAAGATGATGACTGAGATATGGGTTACTGTTTGATGACAGGGAATTAGTCGGACCGTAATTATAGCCTTTTTGTTTGATTTGGTATGGGCTGTCCAAATTTATCCATCCAAAACTATAGCCTTTTTGTGTGATTGGTATGGGCTGTCCAAATTCATCCATTAATGTTTGGGGGAATTAGGTCCACTACCCTTCAAAATTATCAGATTAGAATTCTACCCCTAAAATTAATTAGAATCTTTACTCCGATAATTAATACGCTCAAAACCACCCTCCCCATGGCCTCCTTCTTTCTCGACTAGCATGAATTCACAGCATCTGTCGACCGCATATTTCCATATAGTTGCCGCTTGATTTTTCTACAGTCCTTGTACGTGATTATACCTTTCCTTCATCAAAATTCTACTCAATGTCTTCCTGGTTCCTCGGTTCTTGTGATAATATTATTTAGAGAAGCAAGGACAGAAATAATAGTTGGTGCAGCTGAATTGATTCATTTCTCGCCTTCATTGGTAGATTTATTTAACAGTTTAAGGGACTCGAAATAAAAAGGTAGGTTTATAGTTAGGTGAAATAATGCAGGGTCACTGTTCACGACTACATATTATACATCATTTTCCAGCGAGCTCGAAAAATATCAACTCAAAAAAGCTCAAAACATGTTCGACACAATGCTCCAGTGAACGGTCTTTTCTTGGAATGCCATGATCACTGGATATTCTAAATGGAATAGATATCCCGAAGTGATGAACTTGATTTCATTGATGCATCACTCTATTGTTAAGTTGAATGAAACCACAATTTCAACATCGTTAAGTGTTTGTGCACGCTCATGGTCATTGGAAAATGGGAAACAGATTCATGGGCTGGTTTTGAAATATGGACATGAGGACTTTGAGCTAGTGGGGAGTGCTTTGTTGTACTTGTATGCTAGTTGTTATGAAATCATGGAAGCAAAGCGGGTTTTTGATGAGTTGTGTGAGAAGAATGAGTTAGTGTGGAGTTTGATGCTCGTTGGTTTTGTTCAATACAGTTTTTTGAGTGAAGCTTTGAAGGTTTTTGAAGAAATGTCGAGGCGCGGTGTGGTTGAATGGACTACATTGATTTCAGGGTATGCAAAGAGCAAAGACGGGTGTCAGAAGGCTTTGGAGTTGTTCAAGATGATAAGAAAGTGGTGAGGCGGTTCCTAATGAATTTACATTGGATTATTAGTGAGGGCTTGTGGTAGAATGATGGACTTGTGGGAAGGAAAAGTGGTTCATGGACTCTTCATAAAATTGGGATTTGAATTTGAATCTTTGATATAATATGTGATATTTTCCTAACATAATCAGCATGTCTAGACATGCTGATTATATAAAGAACCGCCACTATGCTCAAGTTGATTGTCTTGAATATGCTAAATATGTTAAGAACATGATTACTAATGCTGAACAAATGGAAGGTGCTATTTTAGATTTTCTCACTTTTTTTTTGGTGGTTGTGAGTTTGTGTCACTTTTTTTGAATTGTGTAAAAAGTGACATTTTATCACTCTTTAATTTTACACAATATTTTTTATTTCCAAAAAACATTTTTTTAATAGATTTTGTCACTTTTTTATATTCTTAAAAAAATTGACATTGTATGTGATATTTTCCTACCATAATCAACACATGAATTGTCTTGAATATGCTGGATATGTCAAGAACATGATTACTGGTGTTGCACAAATGAATGGTTTTATTTTGATGTTTGTCACTTTTTGAGTGTTTGTGCCACTTTTTTTGAATTGTTACTTTTTTGAGTTTGTGTCACTTTTTTTTTTAATTGTGAAAAAAGTGACAATTTTTATAAAAAAGTGACACTGTATCACATTTTAATTTTACACAGTATTTTTTTACTTCCAAAAAACTTTTGATATTATTATTCAAAACATATCTAATTTTAAGGGCATTTTTGTAAGTTGTCCATAGAAAAAAGAGGGATGAAAGTCCAATTGCAATGCAAATCCTAATTGGACAAAAAGTGGGCTGTTGTTTGGGAAAAAAGGAGAATCCCTTGTTGACTAAAAAACCAGCGCTGTTGAATTGATAAATACCCACATGCATTGACAAGGAAGAGGCCGGCAGTTTGCTGTAAAAGGAGTTGAGAATAAAAAAACGTACAGAAAACTGAGAGGAGGGCAGCTGCTAGGTCAGTCTATATATGCAAACGCAGTGAGAGAATAAAGGGCCGCCAATATATATATTATATACACAGAGACGGGCTACTGGGAGTCGAAAATACAGGCAGAAAAGTTAGCTGACTGAAATTGAATTCTGGGAATTACCAGTAAAGTGGGTAGCTGGTTAGGATATATTTTTACACGCATATACACAGAAAACGAGGCTGAGAAGAATAGATACACACCGGAGACGCAGAGACGGCACACACACAACTAGAATTATTCACGTCCCATAATGTTTTGGTGATCTTCTTCCACTTTTATTTGTTTAATTCCAACATCATGTTAGGCTAATTCTTCATATTGCAAAGATGCGATGAACCCTTGTTATGAATTTTTAATTTGAATAATTTGATTGACATTGATTTGTTTAATTGTTTGGATGTTTATTATTGTTTAATTTGCTATTCAATTACTTTGCCATTAATTGAATTGTTTGTGGATTTTATTGTTATTATAGAAGCCTAAAAAAAAATATAAAAATGAAATTAGGATCATATTTTTAGGTGATGATTTAGCACCACGAGCCTAACCTATATATGAACCTTATGCTCGGTCTACACAAGAAATGAAAGCCCAATACTTGTCGAATATACCTTAAATAATTTTTAAATGAAGTTGGATGGAATTTAATGTTTTCCCAAAGATTTGACCTGACGATGAAACTTTATATATAGTAAATATTTCTAAGATTTGATTTCGTACGTGTTATTTTCCAAAAGGACCAAATTATAAAAAATATATATATAGAATTATAATTAAAATAGAGTTTTTGAGGTTATATTCTTCCTTATTTTGATTAGTTTAATAATGCTAGGGACCAAAGATATAAAAAATTAAAAATAAAAAATGATGGCGAACTATATATATAATATACACAGGAACATATTTCATCAATTGGTAAATAAACAAAATCACTTAAATTGGTAAATAAACAAATCATTAATTTGCAAACACACACACACGTTTTCAGTTTTCAATGCATTTGAAATTGGAATTTGTAACCTACCTTTTACCAATTAATCCATTTTAATTTGTCTTCAATGGTGAGTAATTGAAGGCCACCGTTTTTCCACCTTTCACTTTCAATTTGTCAATTATACATTTAAATATACACACACTCACACATAAAAATTTAAATGCTGCCCACCTTTTTTTTTTATTATTATTTTTTTTGAATAAGAGATTTGACCATTCATTTCTTAACTTAAACTTTAGCTTTAAAAAAAAATAAAAAATAATAATAATAATAATATGTTTTCAAACTCCTCTAATGCTGTCAACATTTCTCTACTAGAATTTGAGACTTGATTTTCATTTCTTTCAAATTATTCGTATCCTTTTCAAAAATATATGCACAATACAAGAAAAAGCTTTAAAAAGTAAAGAAGCGAAAACAATATTTATTGTCCAATTTCATCCACTTCAAAGGCGTCAAACAAAGGTCGGTAGAGGTGCATGTGTTATTTTGTTTCCAAATTATGAATTTTCGTAAATGTTTAAATGAAATGGTACCTACGGGTACGATGCTTCAGCACTACAATAATTGAATGATCATTCTCTGGCTCTACGTTTTATAATAACGCTACAGAATTGGAATTTGTCAGAAATCCATCTATATGCGACGGTATGAATCTATAGTTCGAAATTTTTAATTTGAGAACGAAGTGCACCAATGATATCTATTGAATTTCAAATTTATGGGTTAAAGTCCCTTTCTACAGATTGATTTGACTTGCTTGGAGCGTGGATGATGGTAGATGGAGATGCGGCATGCCATGGAGAAAGCAAGTGACTTGAAAATTTTAATTAAATTATGAATGTTTACATTTTTTTTTTTTTATTTCTATGGATGTTATATTGGAACTAATTTAAGAATATTTCTTATGAATAAATTATATTTGAAGGTAGATATGTGTCATAGAAATAAATTTACAAATCACCGATAACAAAAAAATGTTAGCAATTTAAAGTTTTGTTGTCTCTTAAAAAATTTCAGTTTCTGCCTCGTCTTTAAAAAAATTCACAGCTCTTTCATTACTTGGCATTTTTATACAAAACCAGCGGCATAAGATAGCCTAATAAATTAGCTACTGAATGATCTTGGAATCATATCAATCTGATGTTGGTAGAATTTTATATGTCACATAAAGTAAAATACACTTGGTGCTGTCTCTGTTTTTCAGCTTCTGCCCATGATTTAAAAAAAAATTCATAACTCACTCGTCACTTGAGATTTTTGGATGAAACCAATTGAGTTTGATAGTCTTAACGGTTAGCTATTGAGTATAGTTGAAATCATGTCGATCCGATGAGTGTAGAATTTTATATGACCCTTAAGGTAAATTGCGCTGGGTTACCTTTCAACCCAAGTCGCTGCGAGGTTTGAAAAATATTTTAATACCTTATATGCTTCCGACGGGAGTTGATTTTTGGACATATCATATTATAAGGAGTTTTTAACTCCATGTTAAAATTTCATGAATTTTCGAGGTTGGTAGCCATGCAAACGAATTTATTTTGGCAATTACCGTTGAGACAAAGACTGAACAGCAATATTACTTTTAAAATTTTGCAAAATTTCATGTCAATAGTGGTTATATGCATATATGGTATGCTGTAAATATGGTATGATGTAAATATGGTATGCTGTAAATACGGTATGTTGCATATACGGTATGCGTTAATCTAACATATAAAGTGCGTATACGGTATGAATGAATTCAAAATTTTTTTTTGAAATTGTTTTCTTTTAGCATTAAATTATATTAAAAATTTTGAATTAAATTTTTAAAAAAATTTTAATCTTTATACATTCCACTAAAAACAGGGTAAATTAATTTATGGCTAAAGTACAGTTAATCTTGTGACGTTTGGATCCATGCGGGTTGTGGCATTAAAGTTATCGAGAGAGATAATAAGATCGTCAACACAAAATAATAAATATTGTGAGGTTCGATAGAGGATAGAGATATACCTTGATGCCTCATATGGATTTTATATGGCGTTATAGCTCGTTTAATACATTTATTATGTTCACATCTTTCATCGAGAGATAGGAAGATTGCATGAGGGGAATATGTTTGATAACTATCGGGAGAGGTTCTCAATTAAAATAGGAACATTGATCAATAAGCATTATTTCAAATTGTCAATTTAAATTATTGAACTAAAAATGGATTAGTAAAGGGGATTCTACATTTTAGCAATACATTTCTCAAATTCGATAAATTTTTAAGTTGCTTTCACTTTAGTTGCCAGATTTAATATTGTTTAGTCACAACTTGATTTTGCTATTCGATTAAGAGTATTGTTAATTTTAATTGGATCAAACACATAGTTCTCATGGGTTCGACACTCTATACACTACTATAATACTTGCTTACGATCCCGTTCACTTGCAGGTAATCAATCGACCATTTGTGTTGGCCCATTTGTTGGATATTAGCTCAAGTCATGGTAACCTAAACTAACCTATATATACCCACTTATCCTCATTGTCAACATAAGTGTGAGCAAACGTGGCCGCTCCTATCTTCCTCTTCTTCGATCTTTTGACCTCCATTGTTTTTTTCCTTTGCCTTTTGGTTTTACAAGCACCTCCATACTTGTGTTCCTTGTAGTACATTAGAAGTGGCAAGCAAAGTGATAGAAGTAGTTGAAGGTTGGAGCCATTAATTGACTGTAGTTTGATATTGATAAGTTGAAACTGAGCATGAATTTCACTAATCGAAGATCAATTCTGCTAAAATATTATTCAAAATCATTGGTGTTACAATTAAATGAAATACATGATTTTATCTTTAATTGAACATTTTACATATTATCACATAAACTTGCGCTCTAACACCATTGATCTATATAGCATTAGTCAGATATTTAATATTCCAACATTATGAAGCCTAAAAATTAATAGGTATGATGGAAATATGTGCATGGGATTAAAAGGAATAAATCGATGAATCTATTCAATACATGAATTGGAGTTGTCTTCTTTTCTTTCCAAAATTGAGTAGAAATAAATTATGATTAATCGGCATGTGGGCAGTTGACAAAATTGTCCAGAAAATGATTTCAACTCATTTGACATTTATGCATTATAGATAAGATATTCCCTTTGAACTTTTCAAAATAACACCCTAGCCACAATCTAATATTCAATTGAACTTTATTGAAAATGACATTTCACAGGGTTTTCCTCCTCACCCAACCCCCACGTTTTTCCTATTCATTAAGTTGAGTCCTAGCGATGTCAATGGGTCGAGTCGAGCCGAGCCGGCTCGTTACCCTACGAGCTCGGCTCGTGCTCGGGCTCGTTGCCCAACGAGCTCGTGGACAACGAGCCCGAGCCGAGCTCGGCTCGTCAAAAAAAAAAAGGAGCTTGGCTCCGGCCCACAAGCTCGTGGCTCGTGGGTGGGGACGAGCCGAGCTCACGAGCTCGAGTTCGAGCTCGGCCCCTGAGCTCGGCTCTCGAGCTCGGCCCGTGAGCTCCTTTTTTAATTTTTATACACGTTTTCTTTCTAAATATTTTTTAAAAAATACAATTTTGATAAATTTTTATCTTATAAGTATTTTTATTTTGTAAACAATTTATTTAGATAAAGTATGTTTTACTAATAACTTATAAGTTATAATTTATAAGTAATTTTAATTATAATGTATTTTTTTATGATTTTATCTTATAAATAATACTTACTTATAACTTATAAGTTTTTTTAATTATAATTTAATTTTTTGCTTATAAGTTATAAATAATTTTTAGTTAATATATTTTAATATATTTTAATTTTCAAGTTTATTTTGAAGAAAACATATTGATTGAAAATCATTATTTTATAAATGATAAAATTAAATATGATATGAGAAATTGTAAAATGATTTTTAAATATTTTTCCTTTTTAAAATAATAAAAATAATAAAATATAAACTCTCCTCCTTTATCCGGGCTTGGGATCGGCTACTTCAATAGTTCTTATTTCGAGTAGGCGGAGTTAAAAATTGTACACGAACAACTTGTTACGTGTACAATTTTTTTTAAAAAATTATAAAGGTATTAAAATAAAAATTCGTCATAAATATGATTAAACTAAATATCAGTTATTTGACTACGTGCAATTTCGGCATATTTATTTTGCAGTCGAAAATGAGTGTCTTGCCAGTCCTTCACGCACATTAATTCTTCCAAAACATCTTCTTTTAGTCGATTCCTAACATCAG